GTAAGGTTAGCCAAGAATTTGGTAAAGCCATTTGCATGCATGAAAAACTCGTTACACAATTCTTCTTTTTTTTTGAAATTTTTCAAACGGCCTTTTCGCTATGGTGCCATACGCTGTGGGTTCCTAATGTAATCGTGCAGTAATGAAGAGAGATTAATAGTTTGCTCTATGCTGTAAATCTACTTAGGAAAAGTACCTTACTTAGCTCGGTGTTTTGGCAAGAGACATATATATATTCTGAATCAGTTTTGAACGCTGATTCCGAATGTGCTATTTATAGCTTCCCGCACCATTTCGAAGCGAGTTATAGGCTTTTTCCTGCGCTAAAATGCCACTACTGAACGAGGTAAGACTGCCTGTAGATAAACATCTGCAAGAAAAAGGTGCTGAAAATCGAAATAACACAGAGGCAATCTTTTCTCACAAAAAAGAAGCTCTCAAGACATGTATTGGCACTTAGATAATGATCTGTGATGCCAGTGAGTCAATGAATACGCCAGTTTTGCACAGGAAAGAGCCCATAACTTGCTTCGGAATGGTGCGCGGCAGCTAAGAATAACATATTTGGAATTAGCGTTTGGAGCCGATTTAGAATATATGTGTCCTTGTCAGAAGGCCGAACTAAGTTAGGTAGATTTCCTTGTAAGTTGAAGCCAACTCTTCATTTTAATTTCAATTCAAGCTTTAAGAACTATGCATATAGTGACTTTCATTTTTCAATTCCCCTTCAGGGTTTTCCATACATCTTTTTCTAGACGTTGACGCAATCTCCCTACGGTACAATTCTTTTAATTGGCTTTGCTTGCAGAAACATAAAATTTAAAACCGTTATAATAACTTATAATAACGGGCTAGGTTATTTACGTCTTTTTGCATGGGTCTGTCTGTCCGTTACAAAATTTCGTAGAACAAGTTCCAGCCAACGTCCCAAGCCTAAAATTTGCATGGCGCATGCTAGCAGCATGAAAGTACTCCAAGTACACCATGCAAAAGCGGAGCGAATCCGTTGAGTGGATTTCTCAAAAATTCGGCATCAAATGGATCCAATTAGTTTCTGACCAGCAAAATTGAGCTTGTAGCACCACTTTTTGCAAAGTCTTGGATATACTTGATAAGTAAATGTGCAAACCGTAAGCTATGGAAACGGCGCCAAAAAGAATTGACTGTGTAAATATCCAATTTGCCAAAATTTCACCTGATCATTTGTGAAGAGTTTTTGCACAGAGATGTAGCTCACGGTGATTATCGTTCTCAAGGTGACTATCAAGCCAAGAAAAGTCCAAAAACTGATTTAAATTTGCATTTGCTCTTTTGGTGGAAGTTTCGTCCGAGCAAAATTACCGATCTCACATGAAAAAGCTTTAAAAATGAGTAGTTCTTCACTAATCATTCTTGATAGGTTGCATAGCACAATGAGTTTTAGTGTTATTGCGGGAATGAGTAAGGCATGCAGATAGTGTGATCAGTGCGAGCCCGTGACTGGTTTTGTACTATTAGGTTGGTCCAAAAGTTCGTCAGCACCATTTTCAAAAATTCATAACTTTTACCCTTCTAAACCGGGTTTCGTGTCTACATTTTCATCTGGAAGAGCAATTCATTCTCTTCATAACGGTATTTTGGTGGCATTCTACTGAGCGTAAACTACATGGATATAAGCGGTAATAAAATAATCCTCAAATTTTGAGTTTTCTGTGTAGGGCCATAAAAAGTCTGAAACTTGCGCGAAAGTTGGTCTTATAGGTTCTATTTCCAGTTCTCTTCAACTTTACAAAGTGCTGATTGAGCAGCTCTATGAAAAGTTATGATTTTCGAGCAAGCAATACAAACGGGCGAATTTGACCTATTTTGGCCTTTTTCTCGAAAATCATAACTTTTCTTAGAGACGCTCAATCAGCACATACTTTGCACAAGCAGAAAGAACTGATAATGAAACCTGTAATCCCGAATGCTCCGATTTTTACTGCAAGTTCCAAATTTTTATGACTCTACACAGAAAACTCAAATTTGAGTTATTTTCTTCTACCGCTTAAATCTATGTAATCAATGTACGCTCAGTAGAATTTAGAATTTCACTAAGATACCGCTATGAAGAGAATGAATTGTTCTTTTAGATAAAAATAAAATCACGCAAACTGGTCGAAAAGCGGGAAATTATAAATTTTTGAAAATGGTGCGAACGAACTTTCGGGTCAACCTAACATACCTAATTTGGAAAAATGATTTGGTATCCCTTCATTTTGCTTGATGTAAGTGAACAGATCAATAGATTGAAAGGAGGATTCGGCGGATCACCGCAAAAATTAGCCTATGACCTTTTTTGTGGCTTTTTTTAAGAGAGAGAACTCAGCCTCATCAGCCCACCCACAAGGAAAGGATACTCGGTAACAGTGACCATTTGGATTGCGATGTATACCGTAAGATGCACTTCGAAAGGTTGATTTTGAATCTTTGATCGATATCTGCAACGATCCTCTGATAAAAGCTATGAATCCTTTTTCGTAAGAAATTTGCGCTTTTTTGGATAGTTGAAATCACCAAGTTTATTCTCGATTACCGCTTAAAGCTATTGAAGAGAATCTTGAAAGGGATATTGTTGTATTATACTTATCTAGATTATACTCAGCATTTTAAAAGTGTGGGGATTTTTGTTGATGATTTTGTCCCTTCGCAGTAGCGCAATTTACTCATGGAAAAATAGCCATAACTCCATCCGGTTATCGTTTCGCAGATATTGAAGACAGTATTCGAACCACCACAGAAAGGCGCATTTTTTTTCAATATACAAGTCATTATACGGATGGTCACGTTTACCAAGTATCCTTCTCCTTGTCAGAAATTTGCTGTAATTACAACACAATACACATTTTGAGTTTCATATTAGGTTGATTCATAGTTAATGCGCGTTTTTCTCACCTTTTCTTCCAGAAGCTGGTATTTGATGTGTAATCAATTTCCTCAAAGTTTCTTATGCATCCCATCGCTTTCTAAATCTCCGTTCATTCCAAAGTTCTGAGCCTTCAAACAAAAGAGACTAAATCCCAAAATTTTTGCTTTTCACTTTTTGACCTAAATCCATTAGGAATGGCCGGATTAATTTCAGAAAATATGCATAAGGATCAGAAAACTTTGTGCTACAAGATGCTATTTGAACAAAATTCTCCATGAATTCTGAGCCGAGAAATTCAACTGCGAACTTGAATGATCGTTGCGGCTCTTCCGTGCCATATAAAACTTTGAAGCTAGAGGCGATTGCAGGTCTTTTGCACTATCCAGCAAGGGTAGACCTAGCTTATTTGATGGTAGAAAAGCGCTAGGGTTTTCTCACTTTCCAGCGGAGATAAATGAAATAATTTCAAAAATGACCGATTTTTGAACCCGCCGACATGCCAGAAAAAAGTGAGTACTTTCTACTTTTTCGCGATATTTTCTTTCGAAAATTTTCCGCTAAATCCAAACTTGGCATTACTGCTCAAGAGACCCTTGACTACACGAAAAGCGAAGTCTGCTTTATCCTACTTCATTTCAACATAAGTTATGCTCTCTCAAAGTGAAGGTTTCTGAAAAAAGTTGTAGGCAATCTTTAGGCCAGAAAATCTTTCTTGTGATAGATACAGTCACGCAAAGGTATCTGTTCTATAGCCACTGGTTTGGTAGTTACAGTAAATTTTATTGCTAGCGAATATGTCTTCTCAAGAAAGAATTATCTCGGTTGAAAGTTGAAGTATAGAAAGCGTGCATTAATTATGAATCAACCTAATATATTAGGTCGGTCCAAAAGTTCTTTCCGTTTTTTCAATTGTCATAAAAACACGTGGAATAAGGGCAGGCAAATGCTCTAAGCAGTGACGCAGGTTTTCTTTCTCTTTCAAGCAGTCATGTTTTGGGACCATTTTTTCCTGTGGTTTCTAAGATATTTGCGAAATTTCAAAACCCATGGTTTTCACCATGCTCAACTTTAGCAATTTCTCAAAATCTTCATTTCAAATTTTTGGAAAAGTTTTGATAGCAGTTGCATAGCGTAAACAAAGGGCAATGCAGTGAAATTCTTTGACCCCAGTAGCTGGCCCCAAAATCTCCAAAATTATATTACTGATGCTTGCAAAATCCACTTTTGATCATCCCAAAACTCAAAGAACATCAAACGGAGCGCAACTAAGGTGTCGTTCGATGCAGTTTTTTTCTGCCCTTCCTGTTAAGCCTTTTTCCTTCCCAATTCGTGGAGTTTCGGCGATAAAATTATCATAATTCCTGATTTTGAGCCCGCTTCATGTTGTACCTGTAAAATGCAAGATTTGATATTTCAGGCGGGAACCACTCTCATGCTTTGCGTAGTTGGTGTGTTGCAACAATCGATCTTTGCAAGTTTCAAATTCCGACAATTTGTTAGCGCTGGAAGCTTTTGTGTATTTTGCGACTTCGCAAACTTGAAGACTTTTGGGAAAGTTATTCTATAAATGCTAAAAAGCTAACTGAGATGCAAGAAGATTGCATTGCATTGCATTTTGTTTGCGCTATCTAACTGCTATCAAAGCTTTTCCAAAAGTTTAAAATGAAGATTTTAAAAAATTGCCAAAGTTGGACACGATAAAAAACAAGGGCTTAAATTTTCGGCAGTTATCCCAGAAACCACCGAAGCAAATGGCCCCAAAACATGATTGTTGGAATGAGAAAGAAAAAGTGCGTCCGACGCTGCTTAGAGCATTCGCCTGCCCTCATTTCACTTGTTTTTATGACAGGTTGAAAAACGGAAAGAACTTTCGGACCAACATAATTTATACTACCTGGTAAACCTGACTCCGCCCAACTTTGTCAAAATACTGTGTTGAAGGTCATCATTCCTATCTTTGTACAGTCGTTCCCCGTGCTCATTTCTACGAGCCAACTCCCCATCTTCGTTTTGCTTTCCTAATGAGCATTTCCAACTACCCGCTCCCCTCTCCAGTGCCAATTCCCAGCCCTGTCGGTTAAACTTTGCAAAGTTAGAAGGAATAGGGTCAGAGTCACGATGTACACTTCATCTTAAGAGTTTTGAGCAATAATAAATGCACCTGTTTCTCAGTAATGATGACCTCTGCAGGATCACTTGGTAACCGTCGCTCAAAACTACCAAACGGGAAGAAATATTCCGAGTTTTTATTATACGTCATTGTGGCGTTGAAGGTGTACTGTGGAACCTAAAGAAAATGTAAGCATTTTGGATCCTGCATACGTAGAATGTCAACGGAAAACAAAGTTTTTCTCGCTGTTAGATCAAATGGTAACAATGCAATGTCATGTAGCAATAAGCTTTGGTTCATTAGACAACATAATCTTTTCACCGGCTTTGAGCATGCGTGATTTTTCTAAATTGGTCCTTTCTCCATACAGCGACAACTTTAGTTTGTGAGAGAGCGAGGGGTTAGCTCCAAAAATATAATAGATTACAATTCCGCATATCAGTTAACTAAGGCTACACAGTCAACATTAAAATTGTTGCCATGTTACTAACAGAAGCGCTTTTAACTAGCCATTTAAGTTAAGATGTATAGGCTGCTGCATGACGAAGGCGCAATATCTTCGGGCGCGAACGCGGCTTTATTAGCTGCAGAGCGCATGAGGTGCGAGATCTACAACGGTGCGAATACGCGCGCGTCGCGTTCACGCCCGCTCAGTTAGTACCGCCGCGCCTTCGTCATGCAGCAGCCTTTATGTTAATAATTTCAATAATGGCTTATCTCAGGGACTCTGATCGCACTTCTCACCGGTGAAGCGCTTTTTTAAGAAGAGGTATGAAGCCAGAAAATGCATTGATTCGGGCCAAAGTCAAGCGAGAAGTATGGCACACAACCGCCGGAAACAACCCCCCCCCTAATTTCTGACTCGATACCCTCCCCCTCTTCAGCTTTTCGTTTGCCTACCATAAACATAAAGGCTCTACCAAGCATAACTAGTAACATATCCGTAACTATCATTTCAAACAACATCTGTGGGTAGGCTACCAGGGCCCGGCACGAGTCGGTTTCTAGGGTTTCTGAAAACGAAGTCTCCCCTGACTTACGGAAGTTTTCGAAGTCCATTTTGACCTACCTGCTTAGAAGAAAATTAAAACAAGAAAAAATTACTAGTTTGAAAGAAAAGACGTAAGAAAAGAGCGAAAATCCAAATTGGAGCTGAATACTACGCATGTACAAGACCTTGGCATTAGAGCGCGATATTTAACAAAGCGAGAATAAATGAAGGCAAAAAACAAAGGAAAGGCAATGATATGAAAATGTCTCTATGCTCAGGGATAGATTTTTGTCCGGGGAATCCGTCCATGCTAAAAAGATCCGAAACTTATGTGAAGTGACGAAAATATATGCTCCAGACGATCTCAGATCGTCTGGTGGCCGTCTGGAGACGATCTAATTTTGGAAAAGGTATTACTTCACATAAGTTTTTAAATCTTTTTACATAAAAGTTTCGCAAATAATTTTCTATACATATAGTTCAATTTTGGTGTCATATGCTTCTGTAGGCGCTGTAAACAAGCAAATTGTTTATTTAAGCCTTGCTTTCAAATCGCGCGCACTTTTCGCCATGCACGGTAGAGCATGTCAATCGTGTGATAATCTGTCCGAAAAGCTTGCGTTCGACTGAATGGCGCTTATTCTTGGTGCTTGGCCCCTATTCGTCAGGAACGATATCTCCTTTGCTGTTTGTTTCAAAAACGAAGTCCAGCCTGCTTCCAGACGATCTGTGCCGGGCCCTGTAGGCTACCCAAGTGAAGCGGCTAATTGCAAGCATAATTTACTATTTTTCAGAAATAAATTAGCTATCTCTTTTTGTACTCACAACAAAGCACTACTTCATGTTCGCCCACCGTAAATTCTGCTTGAAACAGTTGTCAAGCTACAAAATTAGAAGCAAACCATCTCGCTTGCCCCATTTTTCGTTTACAGTAGTTGTGCTTCCAGCAACTGTTACTCAAACGAAAGAAGACAAAATCAGCTTTAGTCACTTCCACAACCACAAGATTTTGGCATCGAACCTCATATAATTTGTTTCTCAGTTCTATCCTTAAAGGTAAGTTAGGGGTGTGGCACAACCCTAGAAAAGCTGTGGCTGCCACACCTTTTTCAGGGGATGGCCACACCACATTAACTTACCTTCAAAACATTCAAATACCTGCGTTTTTCTTTTATTTTGCTGCTACTGCTTAACCTTCTTCTTAACAAGGATTTCATTTAGAAAGTTCCTTTCAGGAAAAATATGATCAAAATATACCCTTACCTATGCAAATGGAAAATACTGCGAAAATATTGGGTTTTGGCAGAGGTAAGCCTGCGCTACTATGCGGATTGCGAGGAAAAGCGACAAAAATGTATAGATCCGATAGTCTAAGCCTCGTAATCTACACTAAAGTGATTTGAGCCTGATTGGTCTCCTCTAATCTGAGATATTGAAAACGAAAAGAAAACAAAGATTCCTTAATTTGGAGGTTCTTCGAAGTAGAATTCCTGCTGTGAGCAAATAAACAGTAGTTCTTTGTATTAAGTGCAAAAAGAAGTAGTTAACTTACTTCTGCAAAAAAAGTTACATGTTTGAAAATAACCATCTCACTTGGGTGGCCCAATATCTGGAAACCTCAAAATTTGTTGAAACTTGTCCCACAGGGGTTATTTGACGTACTAGTTACGAAAACAATGCTCTCGTACTTTTATTATGTTTACTGTACCTATACGATGGTGGGCCAAGAAATCAACGTGCTACAATTTGCATGATGAGGCTGCTTGACGTTGTTAACAAATAACTGTTACCGCTACATCACAATCACCTTGATAACGACCTTCCCCCTCCCTGACCCCTTAATACGACCCCCAGGTGTGGCATGGCACAACTCACGCTTCACTCTGATTAGGGCCTTTTGACACTCTATGCAGTAAGCGACCGCACTCACACTGCCCTAATCAACAGCTGTGCAGTGCTCAGAAAACACACGCTGCTTTGAAGGTCAAATTGGGAACTAGAGAAGCATTGTGCAAATTATGTTGCAGCTTTGTGATCAGCACTTTTTATTCACAATACCAACTCACATGAGTGGTCTCTCTAAGTTAAAGCACACCTTCAATAGTTTGGAGATAAGGTCTCAAAAGTGTTGTGTGGAAATTCCCCCTCCCCCTCCATAAAAAGCAAAGGTTGTTTATGGAAGATGAGAGAAAAAAGCATGCAAAACAAACAGCAAAAGCTAATGAAAGTTTTGAACCCGGATAGAAAGATTGCAATAAATTTAAAATCTCTCATTCGGCGGCATTTTGAACTGCAGGTCTTCGTTCCAGAAACCAGGCAATTTGCAATATGAAGAAAAACCACGAAAAGCAACTTCTTCTTGTGATTTGTTCGGAAGCAACCATGTTTTGATAAAGGCGATTATCAAAAAGATGAACAAGAAAAGAATTAGCTATGAAAACGCGAACTTTTGTTTCTATTAAGTAATGCACACACGCCAATCTAGTTTTTGATGCGTTTTTTAAGTTTGTATCCCCGCATTGTCATTGCTGTTTCTCTTTGTCTAAATCCTTGCGCTTATTATTTCAAGCAAGAGTAGCTCAAATTTGAAGGAAAAACTGTCGCGAAATCACTGAAAGAGGACAAGGCAAAAAATACCTTAATTTTCAGGCCGATTTTTCACAAAAAATCGGCCTAATCGAAGAAGTGGGCTTTAAATCGTTGTCCACACTATAGACAAAAACAGGATCTATCGAATACACTAAGAACGTAAAAAGATGAACTAGAAAATAAAAAAGAGATTTTTAAAATCGCTGTCTTTGACAGATTATCATTCAAACATAAACAGGTTTTGGGAGCTTGTTAGCTTGGCCATACAGTCAACTAGAATTGGGTTCAAAACAACGAAGAGAAGTGTACCAGAGCCAAATGCAGACGCAGACGAGCAGAGAAGAAAGATCAAAATCACATATTTGCTTCATCCACATTTATTCCGGTTTAGTTACGATTATAACATCTGGGGATTCGCCCCGGATGACTTTTTCAAGTAAAAGTTTTGTTTTATCATGATACTCTATGTATCGATTGTCTGAGTAAAAGTCTTTCCTTTATGATTATTCGAAGTTGACTTTAAATTTCGTTATATTGATTATCGCAGCTCGTGCGTATGGCAGATCGCTTTGAGTCTTTAGAATAATTTCTAGAGAAACTATCTGCTTTGATTTTGAAGACCAAAGCTTCAAAAACCTCTTACCGAGATGTCTACATTTTTTCCGGCCATAAAAGCTGGCGAATCGAACGCGAAGAATACATTCAGATACTGTGAACTTGGCGCTGGCAATTCATGAAGTTTGACACTCGGTGCATGGATTATATAAGCAGAAGCAGAACGATTGCTGAAATGTGTAAATATGTTGTCATACATCAGAAGTGTAGAATAAAATCTTACTAGATTTTGTGTTTTGCTTTGTCAATAAGTTTACATCGATATTCACATCCCTTTGTCAATTTACGAAAAAGCGGCATAACATATGTATCATTCGTCCACGTGACTATTAAAGGTGCCCAAAACACAAATTGCAATGAGTTTCTATACAATATTCATCTCAAATAACATTGCAAACCAACCTGAACTGCAACCTTCGGTGTATCTGCGACATTGTAGCTGTCTAAGTAAACATTCCACATTGAGTAAACATTCCACATTATTATGAGAAATAACAGCTTGAGCAGTATAGATTTGGAAAGCCTGCTTTGCTGAGGGTTCTCTGAATTGCGCAAACATAAAAAATTAGTTGTAAGATAGCTAGAATTTCGTATCAAACCTTCTACTAATGAACAATGTCCTTCCATCACTCTTCCAAGAGAAAAGCGGTTTCTGATGTGGCGCTATTCTTGGAACCTGGCATGATACACGGTTAGGACCTGATTTCTTTCAATTTACTGTGTTGGTAACTGTTGTTCTTTATTCGTTTCGGCGCAAAAGGTTAGGGTAATTCGTCGACATTTTGATTTTTTCAATTAATTCAATGACAAACAATTGACGAATTGGGGGTAGAGACATTTCGGGCAAAAAGTGGTTGTTGCAACTAACATCAGTGCTATCCAGACGTCTCTGCATGTATACCAGTGAGTTCAACTTTTCAAAAGCTGCTAACAAAATCGATTACTTTAGCAGTGCAAGATAGCTCGCAATCAGGCCTATGGAAGAGACCTTCCCTTTTCGATTTATTTTTAAAAACGTTCTTCATTTCTCGGCCAAGCGTTGAATTAGTCAGAACAATTATCGCTAATCAAGATTGTATTCAACAGCTTTAGTGAAAACCAGCGTTATTAAGTTAAATTTTAATTGTTTTCCAAGCATTTCTTACCACTATTGTTCAAGATGTTTGCGGTATAGGTACAATTTTTTGCTACCAATCTAATGCCTAACGGCCTTGAAACTCACCGCGCAATGCCGACTGTTACGAATGAAATGTAAACAACTACTCATTCCAAAAGCTTTTTATGTGAGATCGGTGATTTCATGTGGATGGAACTTTTCGCAGAAGTCTCTTGGCTCGGTGGCCGCCATAAGGACACTAATTACCGTACATCTCTATGCAAAAATCTTTTCGAATGCTCAGGTGAAACCACGGCGGACTGACCATTCAAGAATCAGTTGACCTTTGGTCACCTATTGATCTAGATTCCATGGCTTGCACATTGATATTAGGTCGGTGCAAAAGTTTTGTCAGTTTTTTTAATCCATCGACAATCACGCTAGAATGAAAATAAACGAACACTTCAAAATGTATCCGATGCAAAATTTCTTCTCCAGCTACTAAACTCCCATTGTGTTTCTATGAGAGAGTGATGAGATATTCGCTGAAAATTGCAACCATTTGTTTTTACCATGTCCAAATTTCACTAATTTTCAAACTTCTTGTACGAAACTTTCGGAGGATTTTCAATAACCACCAGATAGAGCAAACCTTCTGTCAACGTACGCATTTTTTTTTCAGCTGCGTTTTCAGATTTTTGCTAAATAATTTTCTAAAAGTCTTGTGTTGTGGAAAAATCGCATAACCTGTTATTGCATCAAACACTGCAAAACTCACAGAATACTGATGTTTCAACACTCGATTATTACTACTGCTACCATTACAAAGCATATGAGCGATTTTCGTTTCAGATTACTAAGATTTTGAATTGTAGGTTACGTCAGCGCGCACTCATGAAATTGAGAAATACTGCGATTTTCCCCACAAATTTCGCCTGTCAATCGTGTAATCTTCTTTATTTGGCCAAAACAAGAGTCACCAATCTATAATTCGTCTATAATGGGTACAGAATAGTGGAGAAGAGGTCATGCGCTACATACCAGCACAATTTGAACCTTATATCGATGCTGGTGGTATAGTTACGGTCCAAAATCGCGCTTATATGCTATCGGCGCATCGTCAATGTTCTTGCGCGCTATTATCACTCGTTCAAACGGAAAGAACGGAACAGTTTCAGACCAAACTTATCCTTATCTGATCTGAAGGATTTCGCCTACATGTGGGAATCAAAAAACTACAGTTGCTTCATGTTTGGGGTATTTCAGGTGCCAAGTTGCAGGAACAGTACTTTTTCCGCACCTTATATATTGGGTTATCCCAAAAGTAAACTCCTTTTTTGAATAACTCAAGTTGTTTCTGTTTTCCTAGTATATTTAGGGTATCGTTCGATAGAGTAGATCAAGCTCTACAAAATGACCGCCAAGAATCCGCCTAAGTCGCCCTCCGCGTAAAGTTTGAAGCCAAAATCGAAAAAAAATTTTTCACCTGAAAATTGGATTTCTGCGACAAAGAATCCTACAGACCTCCGAATTAGTCATTATACAGTAGGCATATAGTAGTACACAAATATGCCTTGAATTTTTTCCAAGCATAGAAAGCGATGAACAAAAATTGTCCAAAAATGGCAAACTCCGCCCTCAGCCCCCCCCCCCCAGATATGTCATTGTATATTGAAGCCTTACTAATTATAATTATTATTATTATTACTAAGTATAATTGCAAAACCTTACCCCTGTATGTGCTCTTATAATCGAGAAATACCAAGTTTTACAATAAAAAACCCAAAAAAGTGGCATTTTGGGAAGAGGCTGAAATTTCCCTACAAATGAAACAAGGCGCAAAAGATAGGCTGCTTTTCGCGACTTTTCGCTGGGTTTTTCTATCATTTGTTGTTTACTAACATTTAGGGAAATGAAAGCTATATCCATTTCTCCAAACAAAGTAGTAAGGGGCGGTAGAGATCATTTACATTTTGCGGAGAGGAGGAGGCGGTGTCACGGAGCGAGCCGGTCAAGAAGGACAAATTCACCACGGATACTACACATGTGCTGGAATTGACCTGGAGCTGAAGCAGGAGAGGAAGAGAAAATATGATATGAAGGAAGTGGAGAAATCGTAAGCAAACATCTTGAAGCAGACGAGCCATTTTGAATCCTCGTCCCGGGCGGGATCGGAGACTGCAGCTAGTAGTTATATTAGGTTGATGCATAATTCTTGCACCAAAAAAATACAAAAAATTATTTTGAAAATGCTTAAACAAACTATTCAACTTACATGTTCTGCTCTATGTTATGTATATCAGAAGTAGTAATTTATAGTACATTTTAGAATATCAATTTGAAACAAATTGATAAATCGTTTCAAAAAAATCGAAATTCGTAAATATTCGCAGAGACATCCAATCACTACCAACTTCTCTTAGTTAAAAAGAGCATGCCATAAAACTTAGACCAAAAATAAATTTAAATTCTAGTAGACGTTTTAGCAATTTTAGTGACTAAAAATCGAAAAATCACTTTTTGGGTATTTCTCTTATTCACCTTGTATCGTTGCCATATGCCTTCAGGGACTTTTGGCTCGAGCACCATCAGAAAGCGCAAAATATGCTCTCTCTACTATGTATCGAATTAAAAGATTTCATCGCAGCTGGATGAACTAACAGAATTTTTAAAATTTTGGTGCAAGAATTATGCATCAACCTAATATATAGCTTCGACCAAGTATCTTTTTCTATTAGTAAGAACGGGAGGAGAGACGTACCGTTGCCTATGGCACACTTCTATTATACAAGGATTTTACACCTACAAAGTCGAAAAACTGCACCATTTCAAAATGACACGGCTATGTCACAGGAATTGAAATTGCTATTTTCATCTCGTCCTTGCTCGTACAGACAACGCACAGTCTAATTTTAGCATTTACGACATCCTGCCAAGCAGGAACGCACTCTACAAAATCTTGCTCAAAAGTTTCTTACCTTGTACAGACACCAAAAACTGTTCTGATACTGTTTCAATATTCTAATTCTAATAAAATAACTTTAGTAGAAAGGTCGTGAATTTTCAACAGCCGAGGGCAACATATACCGTCTGAAATGGATGCTATAGTAAGGGTGTTGTTTTTGATAAGGTGAGAAGCACTATGAACCACAAATGTGGTAGAAGCCAAGTTAAAAAGCAATATCGGCACCAACTACTCGTCTCTTGATCAGCTCTTATCTCTGCCCCAAATCTAGCACTTGCCTTTTCTACACCAGACAAAACAATTGATGTGACTTTTGATTAAAGTAATGAGAACAGAAATCAAAGGGTTTTTGCAAATTTCAAAAGCGTCTTTCGAAAGAAGGGAATTGTCACTTGTACTATCTGCGCTTTTTAGGGACGCAAGCAGCTTGAATTTTGAAAGCAAACATTAAACGAATGAAAACCGGTGAAAAGAGACAGAACGAACACTGATGGCATCTATGGTGACGAAAATCTATGACAGCATATTTATACAAGTCACCAAGCTTTGTGAGCTTTTATGCAAAACTTCAAAGGGACACTACACCTAATGAGGTTGCTTTGTTAATTCTCCAAGAAGAAAAGATTGGAACTAAATAACACAAGTTCAGAACAATTATCATTACAACTTAATTAGAATTTTCAGTCAAATTATTTACAAGAAATCTACAAGATAATAAAACAATACTAATCACAACTCTGAATCTTGCATAAGACGAACGGAGCGTCAGCAGTGATATTTATACATGAGACGCTACCTGAACCGTTGCATACAAATTCATTTTTGTTGCATGCAAAACCAATTTTGAGGAAAACTTATGAAACTTGTTTCTAGTGTTTATTCAGTAATAAAAACCACCGTTACTGAACGGTTCATTCGTGCTGTGTAACGGCATTCAAGGTAGCGCAATAAGATCTCTATTTATGGATATAAAATTCATTTTGTAAGTTTGCCTATAATATGTTAGTTTTTACATGTTATATGTTATGGTCGTCTCCCCGGTGTACGTTGGGCGGAGCTTTTGCGGACATTTGGACACGTTGGTAAACTTGTTAACCCTCTACTGCAAAGCACTGTTCTTTGTAATCTCTCGCTACCAACTCCGCCATGTATGACAACAGCATATATGCGTGGCAGTTTAAAGAGTACAAAGAACCATACTTTGCAGTAGAGGTTTAACAAGTTACCAACGTGTTCAAATATCCGCAAATGCTCCGCCCAACGTACACCGGGGAGACGACGATATATATGATATATGTTTTTATATGGTGGGCAATTCAACTGAAACTTTCCATACATACCTTTTCGATCCCAGCGGAGATTATAAGCCACTTTCCAAACAAATCTGCGGGCTACCAAGTTATTGATTTGTTTACTTGTATTTAGGAAACAAAACTTCATGCTTGTCCTACAATCATATTGACAAAGGCGGTGAAGCTCATTTATTATATATTTTGTCAAAAGCAGGTTTGAGGCTGCAAACCTATGACGCCAGGGAGGAAGAAAAATCCACCGCAGGAACCACAG